TCTCTTTCGCCCTCCATTTGTGCCTCTTCAAATTCTACAGCACTGCTGGTCACAGCTGACCTCCAGCTGAAGTGCTCAAGGGCCAGGGTTTCCCAGTTCTCAGTGTCTATGACAGAGTTTTTAAGGTTCACTTTGAGCCCATCTTTCAATCTCTTTTCCTGTCCACCAACATTCCATTTTCCGTTCTTGAGTTCAGAGTAGAGCAACTGCTTTGGGAGACGGTGGTCAGGCATCCGGACAACGTGGTCAGCCCAGTGGAGTTGATGGCGGAGGACCATCGCTTCAATGCTAGTGGTCTTCCAACACGCTGATGTTTGTCCGCTTGTCTTCCCAGGAGATTTGCAGGATTTTCCGGAGGCAGCGCTGATGGAATCGTTCCAGGAGTTGCATGTGACGTCTGTAGACAGTCCACGTTTCACAGGCATAGAGCAGGGTTGGGAGGACAATAGCTTTATAGACAAGCACCTTGGTATCCCTACGGATGTCCCAGTCCTCAAACCCTCTCTGCTTCATTCGGGAAAATGCTGCACTCGCAGAGCTCAGGTGGTGTTGTATTTCGGTGTCGATGTTGACTTTGGTGGAGAGGTGGCTGCCAAGGTAGCGGAAATGGTCAACATTTTCTAATGTTACATCATTAAGTTGTATCACTGGCATTAGGGAGGGGAACCACTGATCTATTGAGGACCACTGATCTATTGAAGCCACTGTCAACTTCATCCCTGAAACTATCATATTCCCTTAAGTTGCCCCTTGCCTTCATAGTCAGCTGACCAGCCATGCAAGGCAAAAAGGTTGGCAGTGATGGATAAAGTCCAGCTGGATTCCCCATGCTTGGTTAATCATTTAAGGAACATTTCCCTCTCCATTTCTCACATCCCTATTCCCACTGTTGCTCTCGAGGTAAATCTCTTGTTCTTCCCTTCTTCTCCGGCTCTGTGTCAGTGGCAAGAGGAGATCAAGCTTTGGATGCCTGAATGCAAGCAACGTTATAGTGTGGTCAAGATGACAAAAGTTATTAATGAGGTAGAAATGACACTCCAGAAGAGGCTGTGGCACTTGACCTTTGCATTAGCCTACTGGGAAGGACAAGACTCTGCCACCTCCTCTCCCCACTGTTGAGTGAATTCAGGGAAAACTAATTTTGCACTATGAACTCAGGCTCCTTCTACTTATTTTACTTTGGCGATCCCTCATAGCCCTCCAAATGTATTGTCTTGGCAGTGGATACGTAGGTGGCTGTGGATGTTGAAGTTCAGCCTGTGACTGTGTTTCCTGATCAGGGTGCTTTGGATGTGGGGAATTGTGTAAATGAGGTTCAAAATGGCAATGGTTTGGTCAGTGATATTGATGCAAAGAATGACAGAGAGACACCTGTTCAAAGTGTAGTTTCCCATGAGATTGTTCCTACAGGGTATAGGGATGATGGTTTACTCCCTGAATTGTTCCCAGAGAATTCCCAGGATTTGGGGCTTGAAAACAACTCAGCACCTGCAGAAACTAATGAGCATATAGATAGGCCGCGCTGAGTCCTCCTTGTGGGGAGAAAGGCGGGATATAATATATAAATATATGAAATAAATAAATAATAAATAGGCGGGTGGAAATTAGTCAAAACAGACAGGCCGAGCAATGCCTTCAGCGTTCTGCCAAGCTTCAACAGAAAAAAGATAAGGGCCGCTCAAGGAAAGCGAAACCAGTTTCTGAGTGCTTGGAAAGGCTTAAAAGTTCAAAACATGGAAAATACAGTCAGATGAAGCATAATTGAGAATCATGCTAAGTTCTTGTCCTCATCTTAGAGAAGCCTTGCTTTGAACTTTTAAGCCTTTCCAAAGGAGATTAATCAGAGACTGCAAGCTGTTTATGGTGAGTGTGTTGATGTGAGTACTGTGCATCATTGGGTGAGTAAGTTTAAAGATGTTGAGGGGACACCTTCTGCTGTCAAGAATTCAATGACTGCACGTTGCTTAAGTCACACTGACCGACCGTCTGCGCAGGGTTCCATACTTCGCACTTTAACAACACAACCGTTCAATGCTAAGGCTTCCCACCAAAATGGAACTGTAGAGGAGAGTCTACTGAACAAGCCAGTACCTGCCGCATACCAGTACTGCCATCTGTTGAGGAGTTATGAAGGTGGAGGCCTTACTTTTTATTCAGCCCTTGTACATCCAGTTTTAAGTGCATTCCTGCCAGAATGGAACTGTAGAGGAGAGTCTACTGAACAAGCCAGTACATACCACATACCAGTACTGCCATCTGTTGAGGAGTTATGAAGGTGGAGGCATTACTTTTTATTCAGCCCTTGTACATCCGGTTTTAAGTGCATTTATTCTTACAAAACTCTCGTGTGTTTGCTTCTTGTGTGTCAAGGTTTCTCATAATGTATGGCTTTAAACCAGTGGTTCTCAACCTTCTTAATGNTATGGATGCCACTTAGAATGAAATGCTATGCTGAAATGTTTATGTTGAGGCTGTGATTGAGTGACCTTAAGAGAAGCTCTCTGCTGCTGCTGAGAAAATTTAGGGAGTTGCCGCTTGGAGCAGAACAGCTTTGCAGCTGCAAAGGACTGTTTTGACTTTCGGTTTTCCTGTGTTATCCTGTGTGTCGCTCGCTGAAGATGGATGTGCTTTTGCTCTGTGCGTAGTAAACTGAATTTTCCTTGTAAGCTGACGTCTCCAGAGTCCATGATTTTACAGAGCTGTATCTGGTGTATCTAGCATTTGCGTCTGTCAAGTTGCGCCTTAGCTTGACACTGCATACCAGTACTGCCATCTGTTGAGGAGTTATGAAGGTGGAGGCATTACTTTTCATTCAACCCTCGTGGAACGCATTGGTCATACATCCCGGAAACCACACAACGCCCCAGCCATTCCATAGCTGAGCCCTCCCCAAAGGGCCGAGGCCTCACCTTCTCCAGGAGGACGGCCCCCCGCTCCTTCAGGATGGAGTTGATCATGACGGTGGCGGCCCGAGAACAGTTCCGGTCTGGATCCGCCAACCCTTCCAGCATCGAGAGCAGCAGGCTCAGCATCTGGTCCGGAGGAAGGCGTTTGGCAATGACCTGGAAAAGAGGTAAAGGTCAGCAGGACAAGTGGCATCAGGACCCCCAATTAGTAATTTCCAGGGAAAAATAAGAAATTGTTTTTATATTTTGAATGGTGTACTCATGCTTTTATGTTAAGCTGCTTTGAGTCTCCTTTGGGAGAAATTAAGTATGGTTTAAGTAGTAACAACAACAACAATAACAACCCCAACTAGTAATTTCCAGGGGAAAATAATTTAAAAAAAAAAAACCCCCGAGTTGCTGAACTTGCTGACCGAAAGGTCGGCGGCTCAAATGTGCGGATCGGGGTGAGCTTCCACTGTTAGCCCCAGCTTCTGCCAAGCTAGCATTTTGAAAACATGCAAATGTGAGTAGATCGATAGATCTACGTTGCTTAAGTCGCATTGACCAACCGTCTGCGCAGGGTTCCATACTTTTCACTTTAACAACACAACCGTTCAATGCTAAGGCTTCCCACCAAAATGGAACTGTAGGGGAGAGTCTGCTGAACAAGCCAGTACCTGCCACATACATAGGTCACATGACCTTGGAGGCGTCTATGGACAACACCAGCTCTTCGGCTTGGAAATGTCAATTACTCAACTCTCTCGTCATCTTTTTAAGTGGGAGAACATGTACAACTGGTATCTGATTACATGTTTTTCCCCCCACTGTGTGTGTGCATTGTGATGTGCCCTGAGTCCCCTGCGGGGTGAGAAGAGCAGAATATAAATACTGCAAATAAATAAATGAATAAATAAATAAAATCCCTTTTCTCTCTAAAAAAGAGACTCAAAGTGGCTTACAGGAGGATCAAATACAACGCAATTTACAAGCTAAAAAATATCTACAAACATTAAAATAAAATTAATTTTTAATGGCATTCAAAAACAACTATGGCAGGAACGGGCC